TATACAGCCTGAGAGCTTTGTCCCTGCAGAACCTTATTTTGCAGGAGTGGGAGTAAATGTTGATTTGCTGCTGACCTTTAAACAACTGTAAAAGGGTAACGAGGCCACACTGCAAGCACTTTCACTACTTTTATACTTCCTGGGGTTTTACTACTATGTAAAACCAGGCAGGTTTCACAAGCAGCCACACTGTGCAGAAGAGCAGCTTTTATCACAGGACAGTACTATGTGTGTACATATTCTCTGTTTTGACATCAACTCATTTGTGCTGTCCTGTTAGGATAACTGCCCACAGAAGGTCTCCTAAAACTTTCTCGTCTAGAAAAGGCATCCGTCTTGAGGAAAAGACCAAAAGGAGACAAGCAGTTTTTCTTTGCTGCTAAGCCAAACTAATTTGTAAAGAATACAACTCTCACAGTGTTTTATAGAGCATTAAAGACCCTATGAGAAGTCTTAAGCTTCTATACTGTAGAGGAATATACTAAAATCTTTGTAATGTTGGGTTGGATATACTATTTGACTTATGAATACAGATTTTAAAAAAAGGAAAGAAAAAGCTCATTTACTTAACTCTAGTTAACTTCCTCTAAACTAGGTTCTCTAGACCCACCACACAACTGGACCTTTAACATGTTGGGGGCAAAATAAGAATCGACAGATATTTAACGAGTGTGTATACCAGAGCAGGAGATTCTCCAGTCAGGATGGAAAGGGGTCAGTACCAATTAGTTTTGTTACAGCTCTTGACACGAGCACATCTTAGCTGCCCAGTTGAACTTTTTGGACGAAGAAACAGCCATTAACTGGCTCCTAAGAGAGTATATCTGAGACCTCATTACTAAATCAGACAAAATCCATATGCTGTTAAGTTACAAGAGTTGACACTGAGCCAGGAGATCAAGGGGGAATACGAAGATAGTAACAGACTCCGGAGATTCTGGGAGGAAAGAAGGTGTTCAGGAAGGGAAGGAGGAAGAAGAGGAAAGACAAGACAGCCAAGTTGCTCTGTGAGAAATAAACCAAGTGAAGTGGGGTTTGATTTATTGTTTTCATGGACTTGCATTCTTCGTCTCCTAAAATCTCCTTTGCCATAATAACCTTTCATTAACTTGGTTTAGTGGCTCAGTGGGTAGTAACGGTGATAAGAGGATGGTCGGACTAGATGATCTTGGAGGTTCTTTCCATCCTTGTGATTCTATGATTCCAATCTAAGGTTCTCTTCTGAAACCCACCCTCCATGCAGGGCACATGCTATGCTCAATCAAAATCATTGAGCTTACTCTGGCTGGCTGGCTGGCTGCTCTCAACTGCTATAAAAAGGCCAGCTTCCACCTGCCTTTCCACAGTGCCGGCATTTAATTACGCTCCTTGTCCTCTGTACAGCTGTAGTTTTTCACAGACCTTATTTATCTTGAGATTGCAGCTCATCTTTCAAATCTGTTGAAATTGAGTACCAAAGTGTGTAAGGAGAACTGCTGAATGTACAGAGAGATAAACAACACAATCTCATAAACTTAATTTCAAAGGCAACCAGGCTAAAAACTGCCAGTTTTTAATTTCTGATCCTGTTCATGCCAAATGTTGTCTAACATTTCAGCAGCAATCTGTGGCCCTGAGAGCCTCTTTCAATACCCTATCAAGAATATAAAATAAATTGTGATAAATGTAGTCAGTATAAAACAAAATGAGTTGAAATTGGTTGCTGGGATGCAAAACTGAAGTTGACAGGCAGTTGAGAGGAAACTTGCATGAAAATGCTTATTTCATGTATTTCTTTGGGGTTTAGCAGCCTGGAGCTGTCAAGATGGTTTTGCACATGCTCGGCAGCAAAAACAAGGGAACAAAGAAATTTTAACAGTGAAAAATGTAAATTCCTACACTATTAAGCAAACCTTCATAAAAATGCTATTAATGCCTGTAACTTGAATAAAGTTCCTTAAATACACACTTAGAGGCCCAAGCTTCCCTTGTTCCCTTGCATTCTGAATTTCTACACTAGCCTGTTGTGACTGTTTTACCAAAGGGTTGAAAAATCTAAACAAAAGGTATCAGCAAATTCTCCTTTATCCATACCTCTGAAACTTCTTTCTACTCTAGAAACTGTAGGTCACAAAATGATCTTTGAGATGTCATATAATTCCACTTCTAGTATAATAACAAATACGTAATTATCAGTAACTCCTCGGATTATCTTTTAAAAGCATGGGTTCAACACGTTGCCTGTTCCTTTCAAGAGAACATGTTTTCAGTAAGAGTACATGTGCTTAGTGAGAGTTTGCATACATCACATAGCAGCTACACTACTTCATTCATTAAAGTTCCTTTAGAGATCCTAAGGCAGTACCCTATGAAACTTGCAACTTGCATTTTTATGAATTACAAGCACGACAGCATTTCTTTCTGATGCCTTCAACTCTAGCAGCCATCATATATTGCCAAAGAATGTAAATAAAATAAACAATTTATCACTTTAAAATATCAGAGAAATTAATTCAGAATAAATGCATACGAGACAAGAATGACTGCAATTAAGTGACAGAACAGATATGAAGCAAGACAGTATGGAGCCTTCTTCCTGACAATCAACATTAAAATAACATTAGCTAGTAAGCTCAAATAAATAAAAAATAAGTCCAAAAATAAATCAAAGTAAGTATAATAGAATGATGTTAGTCTCAAGTTTGCTTCAAGACATCCTGTCTCTTCTGGTAGCACTTTTTAAGTATTATCTTGCTCACTCAAGAACAGTTACACATAAAGGAAATTAATACACACTAAAGAGAATTCCAAGTTCCCAAATCTCAATGGCTATTGTTTGCAAAAAGCAAAGATCTGTTTTCAGTTGTAAACCAACAGAATTACTCAGGATTTAGTAACCCAGGGTGTAATTTGGGCCCATGTAGAGTAACACAACAGACCAATGTGCGGTGAATTCATCAATTCTGTATCACATTCACTTGAACTCACACCAGAGAACCCAAGTCCAGTCAGTGCTCCCAGCACTTCATAGAACAAAGAGTGCTCATTTCAACACCATACATCTTGAAATGGAGAAGAAAACTTACATGATACTCTCCTTCAATATATCTTTGGAACACACAAAAACCTCAGCATTAGCCAATCAGTTAAAAACGAGAACATAATAAAATCATGAATATATATAAACCACATACATTTCACTTGCAGGCCTCTGTTCAGCCAAGTGGTTTCAAACACTCACACCAAACCTTTTTCTTGTCATTGGTTGAAGATCTTCATTTGATTTCTTCACAGCTCTGATAAGTGCAGCAGCATCCCTAAAACAGTCCTTAGTTACATCTCAAAATAGTCTGATTAATCAGTCTTATTCAAAAGTGTTGTACTTTATTCTTCCGTGTAGCTTTTCGGTTTGCATTTAATGATCCAAAATCAAGCCAAGTACAACAGAGAAACAAGCTGAATTTTCCATGGGAATGCGTGAATACACGAGCACCAAGACATTTGTTCTGAAAATAAGTTCTCAGAAATTCAAGAATTTGTAATTTTTATACTCAATATGTAGGTGCTCAAATGCCACAGATACACTCACATGCCATGCCCACTTTACACACAAAAGCCTTGTCAGCCAGGCCTCTCACATTAACTTCCAGCTAACTGGAAGGACACTTGCAATCCTGCACTGACTCTATGCACACACACATCAGTCCATACCCAAAAGTGTTTGAAGATCTAAATCCAGTGTACAAGATTATGGAAGGAGGACTTAAATTCTTCAGCTAGATGCATTGTTTTTAACAAAAATGGACTATGGATGGAGAAGTGAGGGGCTTAGAGAAATTTTCAGCAGGTTGTAGATGAAGCAGAGGGAGAGAGCACGCGACCCAGCAGTTGTAACTGCTTTCCATTTGGTGATGGAAAATAGCAGCCTTATCCACAGTGTGTGTTTTTATCACTGGCACCTGATACAGAGTCAGAATCTGACTCATTTTAGACCATCAAGAAAAAAAAGAAAAGAAAGAAAGAAGAAAGAAACAAACAAAATGAAAAGTCTAAAATTCATCCTTCCTTCAGTAAAGTCTCTGTTCGGTCAATCTACAAGAATGCCCTGAGGACAAAGCGTGTCAGAGCCCAAACAGACTACATAAGAGAGGAATAAAGCATCTCATCCGCTAATGCTGTCAGTAAAGCTTAAGGTTTGACTTGTAAATCACAGGCTTCGGATATGGAAAGGAACAAAGGTATCTAGGGCAGATTCCTAAAAATTTTGATGTAAGTTTTATTCCAGAGAGGTGGTAATTCTCTGAAGATTTTCCTTTGCTAACTGGAGGGCAAGGAGCTGAAAGCCCTACAGAAGCTAAAAAAGATGGCAAAAGGATACCCCTATATACAACATAATAACCTGAGAATCGGCCATAAAAGCATGTAACATTCACAACAGCAAAGATTTTGAGCAGCAGCTGTTAGAAAAGTGGCTCTAGACAGAAGGACCCCACAAAACAGAGCTGCCATCTTTCCTT